TAACGACCTACGAGATATAACAGCTAGACTGCAGATTTTTCTGCAGGTTGTAAATTTTCTGAACATAATTAAGAAAGTAGAATTATAATGGAAAACATGTTTCTTAACGAATATTATAAGTACTATATTTTAGATGTTTTATACATACATTTTCTGACATTTAAATGTCTTACAAATGCATAAAGATCCACACTTTAATAATAAGCAGAACGTGGATTTAAAGGAAATTTGAATCTGCATAAAAGTTTAATTGAAATTATCAAGTTGCATAGAATGCAGGCAATACTAAAGAATATTGTGTGAGTATAAAAATGTCGATCGGTTTTTTTTGTAAATGTATAGATTGTGAATACCTATTGTTTTATTGATATTTATACTACTATTAATCGGTTTGTGTCTATTAAATTGTACTTTATATCATCATTAGACCACGGATTATTTATACATTCATGACAAATTTGATACTGTAAAATTACATACAACACCCGCAATACGAAGAAACATATAAAATGATCAAAGTGTCATGCTTTTATTATACTTATTAGACAAAACAATTATTCGTCTCAATCCAATTTTTCTAATTATCTTCTTAACAATTTGAATTCGCCTAAAGGTCCGTAGTCTAATATTAGCATATAAACGGAGTACATTTGCAGTTTCGATTCAATTTCAGTGGTAAACAACGCAGAAGTTTAACTGTGCTGCTCTCGTTACGCAAAAATATTTGAAGGGTGAAATGTTCAAAAATAAATTGGAACATTCGACAGCATGGTGTATCATTTAGCGAATGGAGTCCTATTTTTTTTCTTCTGTCCGTACCTCCAACCGTCGCCTCTTTCAGGATTGGATAGTTAACCCTATGTCCAACCCCTTTGTGCCGCCTTTCACGGCAGGGGTTGCTAAGGGTGTTCCCTGCTCCCCACTTATTGTCGGACAGAAAATGGAAACTGGTTTTCTTACGACTCTGAAACGCAGAATTTAGTGACGGAATTGTATATACTGCAGCAGATGTTTGTCTATAACATGGACCTCCCTTATCGGAACACCTATTATATATATATATATGTGCAACCTACCCTTTGCACTCCGAATTTCTTTTGCATTTTTTCCCCGATAATTTTGTATTATTGTAATATTTTATTTGAAATGCAGTTTGAAAAATAGTTAGTTTGCAGAGAGCAGTGTAAACGATTCTTCTTACTAATAATATTGAAAATAACATAATAATATAATGTATTTTCAAAAAAATATCTCGACAAAGAAGCACACCTGTGGATAAAACTGATGCGGAGTCACGCCCGACATAGGAGCGCAAAGGGCTAACATCTAAACGTTTCACTGTCTGGACGTTCTTGAAGCTTCCAAATTTAATCTTTTTGGCAGTTAATACTTTACTGTCCATGATATACAGCGCGGACAAATTTTGATAAAACTGTTTTATTTATTTTCGAAGATTTCACAGATTTTCTATAATTATTGTAATCTTCGGTCCATAAATAAAGATTCCGCGAGCATATTGCGAAAACTGGGGAAAGATGAGGTATTTCATTTAAGATGATATTCGGGTGCTCATCGATGCGAATAAAAATTATCCAAATGTTTCGTTGAAGTTGGTAACAACGTAATTTGACATATTAGAAAGTTTATGTAACTATAGAAATATATAGGAATATATAGGAAATACAGAATTAACTTGCTCTTTTTTAGATGAGTATTTTGTTATCCAAAAATCATGAATTTGGTTGGCGATGATTTGTATCATATATTTCTGTCATTGCAGTTTAAATTCAATTATTAATACAACTACGTTATGTATAATTATTTGTAACTATGTAATTATTTGAATTTATAAGTTTTTGGGATTGTAAAACTTGGAGCTTTTGAATTCTGTTTATTATATTTAAGGAAAAAGATTATATAGGAATCTAAAAAGTATAAAGAACAATTAGGAATCTACTAAGGACATAGCCGATTTACATGGAGCGAATGACGAATAACAATGAAAAATTTGTTATTCGAATTTGGCTATAGACATCCATTGGGAAGGAATCCTCCCCACAGACAGTATTGATCTACGGAAGAACAGAAATGGAGGCAATTATTAAGCACGTGCAATGGTAAAATTGAATTTTTGTTTATTCTGAGGAAAATAATTAATTTGAAATGTATTTATCACATAAAAATTTTAATGATATTAGCTACCTTACCTTATATTGTGTCATTAGTTTTTTGAATGTAAATCATTGGAAGAATACAACAATTTGTTTTAACATATGATACATGATCCTGCTATTATCCCCCATAGTATAGATAATGCATTACATTTTACAATGGAAATAGTTAAATCATTTGTAAAACGTAGTTTATAAAAAATGTTCATTCAGTCAAATGTACAAATTAATTTCGTGATTGTGGGTTTAATGGTGGACGGTAATATGATAAATGGGCAACAATAGTACCTCATCCTTAACAAAAATAAAATTCTTCTTAAATAATGACAAAATAATAAATCATCTGTATACTAAAACTGGATGTTTCATTTCTAAGTGGATTATATGTGTGTATATAAATGTAGGAAAATGACTGAGGAACAAGAATTTTAATAACCGATGTAAAATATTATTTAAAACATTCTTCACCAACGACGTATATTTGTGACGATCAATGTATCACATTTTGTGCAAAGAAGAGTAAGTTACATTTAGACCAAGGCGAATAGGATAAAAATAAGAATATTGGCCATGTTTATTACAGTATCATAGAAATGCGCACGCTGACAGTCCATACTACTTCATATACTTTCCCTACACCTAATTCAATACATCTTCAATTATTTCAAACTGTTGTTTGCCACTAGCACGTCTTAGAATCGAAGCGAACGCAATGAATTCGGTGCTAGTCTAAAATACATAATTGAAATTTCACACTTAGAATGGCAAGGTAAGTTAGGAAATTCAAATGTGTTTATTATTATTAGTCCCTAAGGTCTCTAAATTCAGTATTTAAGGTAGTTTAGATTATTATACTGCATTTTGTTTATTTATTTAATTCACTTCGAAATCCTTAGAAAGGGTTAATCGGATCAGATCGCGTGAGGCGAACCGGACATTTCTCTTTTTCAGTGTTTTTGCTTATAAAACTAAGACTTTCCTTAAGTTCTTTTTAAAATTCTTCTTACTCATATTGAAGCTGAATATGTATTAATAACAAATTTAAAAAAAAAAATCATTCTCAGTTGTAGCTATTAGTTTTTCCCGGTTAAATCTGAACTGGTCCGATTCGCCTCGATCTAACCTGTATAGAAGAAATTTAATCCTTTGCGGACAAAGATTTTGTGAAATATAGAAAACCTTCGACAGGTGAAACTAAATTATACATCAATTGCTTAATTAAGAGAAGAAAAGGAAACTACGTATTGATTTCTTGCTATTCGAGTAATTAAATCATTTGTCTGCGACTTAATCTTCCAAATATGACCATTTCATTTCGCTGAAATGTCGACGTTCGTCCGAAAAAGGTTGAAAAGAATGAAACCCTCGAGAAGAGTTTAACTCTACGAAATTTGACAAAGCTTACTGTACTCAACATGCGCACCATCTCTATCTCTTGCTTTTTCTCTCTCGCTCAGAACTCTTTCTCCTTTTTTCAAAATCTCAACTGCTGCTCCCGCGACCTACTTCGCATATGTATATAATACACTCACTCATGCACGTATTTCGCGGTTGTCGCACTTTACTCTCCTATTTCTCTCACACTTTCGTTCTCACTCTCTCACATTCGCTGTCGGGGTCGTTCGCACTTGCTTTCGGTGTCGCACATCTGTCGCACATTGACATGTAGGTGATGCTCACCTTTGCTACCGACAAATAGAGGAGCGACCTATTACACGTTGATTTCCGCGCGATTTCACAGAGCAAAATTCGCAAAATGGAAAAATATAATATTTAATCATTTGACTGAACTGCATTATGATTATTGCGCGTTGATTTAACTGAATATCACCGCATTAGGTAGCATTATCTATAATATAGAGATGTTTTCAAATAATCATCGTTTGAGTAAACTATAATAATTCGATTTGGTTGGGGGTCACCGGTGACTCCTATGGCATTCAACGTGTTAAACAAAAACGCGAACTGTTTTTAGGACAGTTCAACCGTCAATCGCTCCTAACGACTTCGGATAGGAAGGACTTTGTAAAATCAAAAAATCTAAATTATATTATCATACTATTTTCTTTATACAAACCTGTCACGTGAAAATTGAGTGGGTCAAGGTCTTTTTATAGTCTATATAAGGAGACTATTGAGCGTTTATAGTGTGTTGTGTTTATAGTTTTGATTAATTTCATGTAACCGAATTGACAAGTAGCAGATTAATATTGAAAATGAGACGAGTAAAGGTGAAAGCCAGTTCAACTAGCATCCCTCTTGGACTCCTTTCCTGAACTCTAGGGAGTTGATATAACCAGTTAACTGTGTTTGACATGTATATGCGTCATCTTACAGCATGAAATCATACTGATTCCTTCAACGATGAATTCTTTATGTTTTTAGATAAACATGTAATTTTTCTTTGTCTTGCTTTGATTTTTCATTAAAGTATACGGTAAGATAATTCATCCCATGTTTGACAAGTATATTTTATATTTTATGCACTTGATTTTTTGATTTTATTGCGCACAAAACGGGAGATCTGTAAAACTAAATTCGACAGTTAACAGGATAATCTGTACCAACGAAATTTCAAAGTATTTCACAATTTTATACTTTTGACATTTATAATAGAACTGACAATTATAGAGGGTACCATGCTATCGAAGTAAATAAACTGTTATTCATAGGAAGAAATATTACATTGAAAACACTATAGTTTCCTATTATGGTATTTATTTTCTAAATGAATAATCTAATAAAATAATAATATAGTACAAGTAGCAACGGGTACATCAAATTCTTGAACGGCAGTGTATATACAGTTTTCGATGATTCTCTGTTTACGTTTTCGAATGTTATTAAGTACATGGTTCAGTGGCTCGTTGTCCCGCGTAACGGATAGTTCTCAGACCAGTATTCTGAGTGTCTCAAATTACTTTGTGGTGTAGGAAAACTTGTAAATTTTATTAAATACGGTATGTATTTATACGGGATGATGTTAATGTGCAGACATCCATTTACGCGTACTCCACGTGAGTTCGTTTTATGCGAATGAAAATCGTTGGTGGCGCTAATGATTTTACTATTGACGAGACTGTCTTAAAATAAACACTAAATTGAATATACAATTGAAAAACAATGGAAACCAAAGTACAACTAAATACGATATCATTATAAATTTTAATGAAAGTATTGTAGGGAATAGAGGAAATAAACTTCTATTTAGTTTAAGAAACTTCACTCGGCATAAGAGTTCACAGTTTAATTATAAAATTTAACGTTGCAGTGTGTTATTGTCTAAAAAATCTACAATGAAAATCATAAAGTTTGAATTTCTTTCATAATCGTCGTTAATAAGAATAAAATTCCCTTTCACAGTTGTTTTGAAAAATTGACTCACAATTAAAAGTGTGAACATTCAGATTCAAGAAAAATGTTTCGAAGGCCCCTGTTTCGTTTACAAAATCAAGAAAATCAAGGAATTGGAGACATTAATACCACACCACTAAATTCAGGTACTTCCAGGTTACCAAGAGTATTGTTGAACAAGTTTTTAATTCCGGTAAGTTTTATTCTATTATTTATGAATAATTAATATTTTCTGCTTTATATGTAAAAAATTAATTGTATTATTCAATTCTCCAAACAATTCCAATTTTGTACTGTTTAAAACACTTTTACGTAGACCGTTTGAATGGAATTTATTAATGCAAATGTTTTGGAATCCATGTTTCCTAAAAATTCCTAAAAATTTCCTAAAGAAAATTCTTTCAGGAAAAAATATAAAAGATTTATACAGACATTGTTCATTTATTCAATAATTTATTTTATTTGTTCAAATAAGCAGGTAAAAGGGATAAATAACAATTACCCATATGTGTGAATATATAATAACGTATTAAATTTTTTTACAATAGTGTTAAGTTATAGTAATCATATAGATGATTGCGTACCTATGATTTTTTTTATGATTTCATGATTTTGTGATATTTCATAGAAATTAATATTTTGATCAACCTTATTTTACATACAGTTACTCACATTAATATTCGGACACGGCGCTATCTATATATTCATTGCTGTATACAAGAGGATATGATTTAAATATCACATTGCTTATTTTATAGGAATAAGAATCATTTATTATAGATAGTTAAACATATTATATATATAATTAAACAATTTATTTATTTAAAATACTCAAACAATTTATTCCTAATAATTACATTTAATTGTAAAATAAATTTTAAACGAAAAGTTGTTCCATTTCCACATCACATTAATATTTACACAATATATTCATAACTCTCATCTGCTCTTTGTATAAACACATCGTAACTGCTAAAAGCCTATAAATATAACGACTCAACTGTTTGAAATAAAATTTTCCGCCGTAATACCAGTTTCCATTAAATTAACGTATATGATAAGAATGAATGTTTTAAATAACATTCTCCTCTTGTAAAAATAATAAAGATTAGTATGCATAGGCTTGGTTTTTTCGAAGCGGTAGAGGGAGGGACTTCACCCTTGCCACGCCTATCCCCCGACTGCGTTTGTATTTTATAATTGTCAAAAATACTTCCAGCTTGAATCCGGTGCTTTTTAGGCGATTACAAAATAAAATCGTGAATGGAGTATCGAAAATTACTTCCACAAATAACAATCCCTGTTGTTTCTGTCGGTGGACAGAGTTGCTAGTAGCATTAATATTTACAACGTACATAAATTTTATATCAATGTCCTAGTGCTAGTAGTTTTTTACGAATATCTACGAAATCGTGGGTGAGTAGGGGTTACACACATAAGAAAAAATGATCAAATATATCAAAAAATCATTTAAATTCGTGAGGTGCGCGCTCAGTTTAATTCCTTGTCCTATGGTTCATTTCTTAACTATGATCGATACAACTACTTCATCATCATTAATTTATTAAGAAAAGGAAAAATGTTGATGGCTATTCTACATTTACGTTTAGTTCAAAGACTAACTATTGATAATAGAAAAGTAACATATAATTTATATATAAAAAAATAAATAACATTTAGATTTCCCAAATTCAGTTTAAAATTTTCGTCAAGAGTCTGGAACGATATTATAGGTGACGGGGTTAATTGCATAATTACTCAGGCTCCTTTAGAATGCAGTTTCATTCCTTTAAAAATAACATTCCAAACTATTTTACTTCTTACAATGATAACAGGTGAATACTAACTAGATTCCAATGTCGTTTACTCATAATGTGTATTTATTTAACATCTGCATGATCAGTTATTTGTATACACAAATGTTACGTTTTACTGAAGTAAACACTTTTATCAAATAAATGAAAAAGTAAATAACTATTTTCAGGACGAAACGTAAAACATCATCGATTTTTAACCTTTACGAATATAGTGTTTGAAGTGATATTCGCTAAGCTGTTGTTTTCCATGCGAATTATCATAATTTATATATTAGGTTGGGGGAAAAGTAATCCATTATTTTTTAGGTAGATAGTTGTAGTGATCGATATCTCGTAAAGTATCGATTAATCAATTTCTGATATATGCTTGTTGGAAAGGTGACATTTCGCAACAAAAAAATTCTTTTGCGGTTTTTTGTTTGGTGCATTCAGTTGTGAGTTACAGGGTGTTAAAAATGGAAGTCAACAAAGAGAAAATTCTGTATATTTTACAGTTTATCTTTGATAAATGCGAAAATGCAAGATAGACGGCTGAAATTGTGAATGGTGTTTATGGTGCCGATACTGTAACAGCCAATTGCGTGCAATTTTGGTTTCGTTGATTCCGTTCAGATATTTTTGATGTTAAAGATGCACCTCGCATAGGTAGGCCCGTTGTCGAAAATGTCGATAAAATCACAGAAATAATCTAAGTTGACCGGCATGTTAGCAGTCGTTGCATCGCCTAGGAGCTAAAGATCGGCCATAAAACAGTTTTAAACCATTCGCACAAAGCTGGATTCAAAAAGAAGCTCGATGGTGTGTGCTACACCAATTAACACAAAGAAACATGATGGATCGAATTTCCATCTAAGAAGCCTTGGCCAAACGGAATGAAATCGACCCATTTTTTAAACAGATGGTGACTGAGGATGAGAAATAGACAAACCACGACTAACGGCCAGGAAGGTTCTGCTGTGCATTTGGTGGGACAGGGAAAAAATCATTTATTATGAGTTGCTTCCATACGGCTAGACACTAAATTCGGATACCTACTGTCAACAACTGGACCGTTTGAAGCTAGCGATTGACCAGAAACGGCCAGAATTGGCCAACAGGAGAGGTGTTGTGTTCTACCAGGACAACGCTAGGACACACGTGTCTATAGTGACTCGTCAGAAACTCCGGAAGCTTGGTTGGGAAGTTTTGATGCATCCACCATATAGTCCGGACCTGGCACTAAGCGATTATCATGTTTTTCTTGTATTGCAAAACTTCCTTAGTGATAAGAAATTGGCATCAAGAGGAGATTGTGAAAATCGATTACTAGAGTTTTTCGCCAATAGGAACCAAGACATCTATGAGAGAGGCATTATGAAGATACCTTTAAAATGGCAAGAAATTATAGAACAAAACGGTGCATATTTGACCCAAATCGGACAATCCGAAACATGTTAAATAAAGTCTTGAAGTTCACGTAAAAATAATGGATTCCTTTTTCCCCAACCTAATACTATACAATTCAGTGAAGGTTAGTCAAGATTAAATTTACATTTCAAACAATAGTTTAGAAATCTGAAAACCTTATTTGCAACGTGTGTTCACGATGAGTATAAATATTATACAATTTGAAATAAATTCTTCGTTTGTATTAATAAAGTATACGTTGCATTTTCATTTCTAGAATAAATTCTTTCCATTTCACATTCACAAAACCAAGATTGTTTAGTTAATGAAAAGTTAGTTTTATAGAATCACCTTTGTTGAGCAGCGTGCGCGCCGCGTGGGTCGACGATGTGTGCGTTTAAGCGAAGTCCTCTTCACGCCTTAACGGTTGGAAGACGAATTGAAAAAATTATCGTTGTACATAGTAATTTTTTATAGGTTTGATAAATTCGATAAATTCGATAAATTTATAGCTTAGAAAGGGACGATAATTGGAATATACGTTTGATTAGAAGGAAACGATATTTGAGGCTCACTATAGGATTACCGACGTGGCGTTAACACGTTCTGCTACTCACAACTGCTCTTAACACGTTCAATACCGCGTGTACCACATATGATACATGGTAATTTTTGCTAGGAAATATAGTACACGTTACAAAGCAGTAGAAACACGAAGAAATTATATCAAAATATATAGAAGTCATCAAAAACTTAAATATAACTAAAATTTACTGTGGCATCAAACATGCTAAAGTGCATTTCTCAGTGTCTTTTGTCGTACGCTGCGATGTTCATCCAAGCTGGGCGCAATTTCGTTGTTGACCTTAGCTACCGCCTAGTAATTCATCCGGAAACGGTTGACACGGTACAAACGCGTCAACAACCCTATTTTCGAAAATCATCATTTATCATGGTGTTGAAACAAATTATTGTACTCTTTCAACGGTTCACATCCTAAATACATAGTAATAACACTGAACGAAAGATAAGTTGGTTAACATTACCGATGATTCTTGACACAATGGGAACATTTAAAACCATTTATTTTCTTCGAGGCAAAAAAGTGGTCCATATTACTACCTCTTCCGCTAATAATCATTTCGACGGGGCAGATTGAGATATTTTCCCGTTAAGGAAAGAAATCGCAAAAAGAAGAACAGCTCTTACAAGTTTTTTTAATCATCGTCCGGAAGACTGGGTAAAAAGAAAGGAGGAAATTCAAGACGACCAGCCACTGCTGAGTCCCGGAGAATGTGCATCGAACGTAGCTGCCAGTTGCATCGCACTACCTGTGCCTTAATGCATGGTTTCACGCGTAATGATGCAATGAACTTCTATCAATCTGCTCACGTGAGGTTTCTACAGCTTGACCATTACCCCTGGCACGAGCTAGCATTAAGGCTTTTGCAAGCTGCACGATGCAATGCTGTTTCCTTTAGGTACGAATCGATCGTTTTCTTATTTCCAGCGGGCCATTGGGCTTTTTAATAAATTGATTAAAAGCTTTTTCAATGCTTTTAATAAATTCAATGTAATAGTAATAATTCGTCCTTAATTTTTCTATAATCGTCAAAACTCTAAAGAAGAAGATAAGCAGGACATTATTTATAATTATGAGCTATCCTGTAAAAGAAGGAGAATGATGGTAATGTGAATGCTATCTGAATAATAATTTGTCGTTATATAATGTGATTCATTAGAGAACTGTGTAGGTGTTCGTTGATTATATAGAACCATTGCTGAAAAGGAAACATAAACTTAATTCGGAGGACGAAAAGGTTTTGTTTAGAAATTTATTTTATTAATTAATTAATTTCGTTTGTCCTAGTACTGTAGACTTTGGAAAAACTTGAAGTGTATATACGACAAGAATTTTTTTACGAGCTTTCTCGTTTGCTTTTCACTCGTACAGCAATATTAATATATTAACATTATACAATGTAACATT